ATGCGAATGTCCGTGTGACATGTTCATAAGTGTTCATAATAACTTCATATCCGAGAGGACACACTTTAATGTCCGGCGACTGTCGGAGAGCGGGGGATGCCGTGGGCTTAGCGCGGCCCTCCTGTGGGTTCAGTCGCGTGAATATGTTTGCATGAGGACGAGGATTAAGATTAATCGATGGATGGGGCAGGATGGGGCGGAAAGTTCCTGCGAACGAACAGATGGACTCGAAGACGCTTGAGTTATTGAGTCACCACGCCGACGTAGATTTGTGTGGTGATTAATTTGAGAGGCGGTGACTTGGTTATTTTACAGCGCGAGTCGTGACGGCGACGTCGACGTTCGCCGACGTCGAGCCCTCGTTGTACCTGAGTCCGAAGTTGTGACTCGTGAGATAAAACAAAAACATGACAGTGCCCGGGGATCTCCGGGGATATGCACGAGTTGGCGGACATAACGGAGCGCGTCGACGACTCGTCCACTGCCATGCAGACTCCAGGGTCTGTCGTACGTCGGGTCCCGTGGGAGCTCCGTGTCGTTCGGGGTGCGTCTCTTCCGTCCGAGATGGCTGTGAGACAAGGATAGCTACGCGATGTTGAATTTAATATTCTTATTGATGCGCAGGGTCTATGCGAAATTGAGCCGGGGATATCGACAGAGAGGAGGACCTCCCTGATTTGAATGGTGCTATACGGTTGCGCTAAGAATGGGCCTGCTCTTTCGAGCCACGCCGATCCCGGATCCTGCCATGCCGCCAGCGTTCGGATTCTCCGATGCTATTCCCCGAAAGACACACGGGCTTCGCAGCGGATGGGGTTGCGCTGGGAAACGGAGCCAAGGAGGTGCCGTAACCCTCTCCTCGTAACAAAGCGGGGATACGCGGTTTTGATTTTGATACGCCGGCCGCGATCCAGCTCCCCAGATTCAGAGCTAGACCCAAATGAGATGCGATGGATAGCTATATAGGTGCGTCTGCGAGGATTGTTTCGAGTTTGCTGAAGCTGAGGGAAAATGCAGCACCGCCCCGGCGCCGGCCCGCAGCTGCCGAGCATCCGTCAGCTGCACCCGTACCTTCCCCCGACGCCTACACCGGGCTACCCTCCGCCATCGGAGAGCGCTGCTTCGGACCTTGATGTCGAGCGCGATGTGCAAGACCAAGAGCAAGAACAAGAACAAGGGAATCACGAGCCACCGAAGAAGAAGCGAAGGAGGCAGGCGCTGAGCTGTACAGGCGCGTTTTTGTGTCTTCACATCCTGGCGCGTGGAGCTGACTAGCTTCCAGAATGCAAGAGGAGGAAGATCCGGTGCGATAGGACGCAGCCGTGCGCGCCGTGTGTACGGAGAGGGGACCAGGCCAAGTGCCAGTGGCATGTCGTAGAGCCTGCGTGAGTCGCGTTTTCCTGACCATTTTTTTTTTGCTCTCGTTCTTGGACGTTCCTTCGTTTCCCTTGCTTGAGGGATGCGCTTGTCTCGGGGGACTTCCCAGTCTTGCGGGGTGCCATGGTGGGATATTGCTGTACGACAGACGAGCAGCGACTGCCAAGAGGAGGAGAGGAGAGAAGGAGTCGCAAGAGGCTCGAAATGTTGGTGGAATGGTGGAAGTCGCGCGCAAGGAGCCTCGACGCGCCTACCATCCATTCACTGCGTCCACCCTGCTTTCTCTCTCTCGTTCTCGTTCACGTTCCTCCTCCTTCTTTCTCCTGTTCCTCCTCTTTCTTCCTCGCCTTCTTTTCCCTCTTTTCTCTCTTTCTCCCCCCTTCCACCTCCACCTCCTTCTCCATATCCTTTATGCTAACCCCCCTTCCTCCAGGAGTACCGAGAAATATGTCTCCCGTGCGGAGCATGAGGCCCTCGGCGCGCGCGTCGACGCGCTCGAGGCCCTCCTCGCGCGCGTGCCCCCGGGCTCGCTGCCTCCTTATGTGCCGGGACTCGCGAGCGCGAGCGCGAGTGGGGGTGGGGACGGGGCGTATAGCACTCCAGGATTCACGAGCGCGTCGCCGGTGCACCCATTCGCGCCCGGCCCATCTGCGTCGCCCGTCCAGCTGTTCCCTCCGCCTCTGCATCTGCATCCGACTCCGGGTAACTCAAGTTATGCTGGTTTCCAACACCACCAGCAGCAGCAGCAAACCGAGCAGACCCACGGTGGCGGTGGACAGCAGCAGACGCGGAGACGCGTCTCCCCGCCGGGCGCGGGGAGTGGCGGAAGCGCGGAGTCCTCGGCGCAGCGGCGCGACTCGGTGCACTCCGTGCATTCGCATTCACCGGCGCAATCTACACACTCGCTGGGCCGAGAGCAGTCACATGCCACGCAGACGACTATCGCGCCGGCGCAAACCCAGATGCAAACCCAGATGCAGCCGTCGCAAACCCAAATGCAGACCCAAAGACGCGACTCGCCGCCGGACTACCAGCAGCAGACTAGGACACAAACGCGCGACTCGCCCCCGGGCGCATCGCTTTTGGGGAGCGATGGCAGGCAGCACCAGCACCACCGGCCCGAGTCTACGCAATCGCATTCGCATTCGCCAGCGCAGTCTACGCACTCGCTCGGCCGTAATTCAGCGTACTTGCCTGCGCTCGGCGGGCAAACGCAGATGCAGACGCAGACGACCATCGCTCCCTCGCAACTCGAAATGCAGACCCAGCAACAGACACGGAGGCGCGACTCGCCCCCGGGCGCGTCATTTTCGCCCCAGAGCTTCCAGCAGCCCGCGATTCGACGGCGCGCCTCCCTACACGGCCCAGCACACTCCCCCGCACAGTCAACGCATCCACACTCCCCCGTGCGTCCGGCCCATTCTCTGCCCCGGGAGCATCTATACGGGCAGACGACGGTCGCGCAGTCCCAAACGCAGTCGGAACAGGCCCAGATGCAGACCCACCAGACTCAGACTCAGGGGCGGAGGCGCCCCTCCGGACTGGGCCCTTGTCTCTCCCCCACGCACCTGCTGCATTCTCCAACGCAGTCAACTCATGGGCTCCCACGACGAACAAGCTTCTCGCCTCAGCAGCCGCAGCACGCCTTCGGCGCCTTCCCTTCGTCTTCATCGGCCTCAAGCGGGAGTGTAGGGGGAGGAGGAGGGGGTACACCGTCTGCGACTTTCTTGGGAGGAGGAGGCCTCGGGGGAGGCGCCGGTAGTGGGCGGGGGACGGGTGGAGGTGCGGGATCGGGCTCATTCGCGTCCTTCGCGTCTTCGCCGCGCACTTCGTTCTCCGCGTCAGCGTTCTCAGCATCTACAGCGTCCCTCCCCGGCTCGGTCTTCTTTTCTTCCTTGTCTGACGCCTCCGACGCCTCAATCACCCCCGGCCCATCCTTTCCGCCGTTCCGCGACCAAGACCACGAGCGCGCACGGATCCAGCACGCCGTGTCCCCGGCTTCCTTACACCACACAACGTCATCCCCGTCGCTGTCGATGCACCACAGCGCCGAAGTGACGGTGATGCCCCCAATGCACGCACCACCGCCTCCCATGCACGCAGGCGCCCTCGCGCGCATTGTCGCGCTCAAGGACGACGATCACGGCACCCCTTCCACCATCCCTCCCGGTGCCGACATCCAGCCGCTCGGGATGCCCGGAGGTCCCCCGCCAACGCCGCCGCCAAAAAACCGACCCGCGCAGGCGTCTCAGGGCGCGCGTCTGCGCGGCGGCCGCGCGCCCTGGCTGCTGCGAGTGGGGATGGGCACGGTGGCGCAGGCGGAGGGCATGACCAGGACGGGGGCGAGAGCGCGTCGTCGCAACAGCGGCGCGCCAGCGCGGAGGAACACCACCCGCGGCACCACCCATACGCGCGCGCGCAGGACCGGCGGCGTGCGAGTACGGGTACGGCGGACCCATCGCCTTCTGAGATGTCGGCGCATCCGGGCCGCGCGGAGGAGGACGCCGCGCAGCAAGCGCGCGTGAGCTCCGGTTTCGAGCCTGGGGAGCTCCCGGCCTTTCCCTCGCCCCCACCATCGCACGGGAGCACGAGCGCGCCGTATGGATACCTCGCGTCCCAGAATGAGGATGGAGCGGGAGAGTGGCGGTGGCGCGGGGTTGGCGGGCGAGGAGGAGGCTGAGGGGGTAGATGAGAAGGTGAGGTGATGCCGCCTCATCGTCCAGATTCCTAATCACATTATTCTTCTCTCTTCGCCTCCCCCCCTGTCTCAGCCTTCCACCCTCGGACTAGACACTCTTCGCATTTTCGCATATTTTCATTCCACACAAACACACACAGCTTTCAATTGCACAGATACCCTGTCCATAGGATACCACCGCACATACTCCCCTCGCATCTCACCCCATCCACTCGCTCATCACACTCTCCTCATCCTTACTGCTGCATCTCCGTATCTCCACCCAAATCTCGCTGGACATTCCCATCGCATTCCATTACCTCTCGGACTTACTACTCGCTAGCTAGCGAATCTAATCCCTACTATACTTCTGTACATATCTCGTATTCCGTACATACTTCACTCACTAGTGACTAAAGCAAAAACCCAATCGACTGTACATCTATTCCTCCGTCCACCCTCCGAGTCTGCTGCTTACTTTTCTCGCTTCGGGCTTCCTTCTCCTTTCCCTGCGTACTTGTTCCTCTGACAATCGCCTCGGATTGGACGACGATCTTGTGGATTTCGGCTGTGCGGAAATAATCTCCGTCGGCGCCACGGACCGACAGGATCTTATCTTATCTCGATGTACCTCTTCTTTCGAGCCGCCGGATTCAACCGCTCGCAGAGCACCCCTGTTCAATTCAGGTCCAGGCGATGCCGCAGCGTTGAAAGCCTTTTTTATCAAGACTCGAATCAAATAATAATGAGGCGGTCAGGGGACGAGGAAGGCTTGATAGCGGTGTGGCCCTGCATCTGCTGTCTATAGAGGGTGTTCGAACTTCGTAGAGTACAAGCAGAGGATGCCTGTTCGATTCGGGTCCAAGCCATGGATGGGCAAGTTTTATTTTTGTTGACACTCTGGAGCTGAAAATGGATAGGTTGAGGACTAAAGCAGGATGAGGGAGGTTTGGTAGCGGGGTGGTTCCGTGTCTGCCTTGTATAAAAAGGCGCCGCGCTTGCAATACATGCAGATGGATGCCTGTTCGAGTCGGGTCCAAGCCATGAGGATGTGAACAAGTGTTCTTTTTGTTGACACTCTGGGGCTGAAAATGAATAGATTGAGGACTAAAGCAGGATGAGGAAGACTTGGCAGCGGGTGACCCGCATCTGCGGGAATAACAGCAGAAGAATGCCCGTTCTATTCAGGTCCAAGCCATTGCCATGCAGAGAAACAAATGATTATTTGGAAGCTCAAGGCAATAGGTAGTGTGATAAAGAGGAAAGCAGGGTAAGGAAGGCTTGGTATCGGGGTGGACCCGCGTCTGTGTCTGTTACACTGTCACCATATAACATACCAGTAGAAGCATGCCCGTTCAACTCGGGTCCGAGCCATGGTCAGCACTCCAGTTTTTTGTCTACACTCCATTTTGAGGAGGGAGGAAATGAGTGATATCGTGTGGTGCAAAATAAGGTAGGGAAGGCCTGGTAGCGAGTTGGCCCGCATCTGCTGCCTATTGACTGTTCCTGCGCTACAATACAAGCAGACGATGCCCGTTCGATTCGGGTCCAAGCCATAAGTCAGGTTCCTGCTTTTTTGTCTTCTCTAGTAGTTGATACGAGGAAATGTGTGGAATAATTAGGAGGAAAGAAGGGAAGGGAAGGCTTGATAGCGGGGTGGCCCCGCATCTGCTGTCTATGGTGCGCATCACCTAGCCACCGCCACCAAAATTTAGTGGCCAAATCGGCCGGAGATTTTTTTTCAATTGAATGTACCTCCGAGCAGGTTTTGGGGCCGTTTGTGGCCAGTGTATTACTGCGCCACAATTGTTTGCAACAAATCACTGCTTCATCAGTAAGTATCACAGGCAACATCAGTAGATTTTAAGCCTACTTACGACCCAAACGACCCATTTCTTAATATATTGCGTGCATGTGGCCAAATCGGGGGCCGATAAAAAATTTTGAAGTCGCTCAGTTTTGATCCAATCGAAAATCCCTCTAGCAGTTCTCATCCTACACTCAAAAGGAGCACTTTCACTAGAGGGATAAGAAATCTAAGGTTTTTTGGACCCGCAAAAGTTCAAGCACGTGGTGGTGGTGGCGCACCATATAAGGTGTGATCACAGAATTCAAGCAGAAGTTTGCCCGTTCGATTCGGGCCCAAGCCGTGCACATATCCGGCTCATCAAGGATTTTTTCACACTTTAAAGAGTTTATACCTGAAAATGTGTGGTATAATGAGTAGGAAATTAGGATGAGGAAGGCTTGGTAGCGGGATGGCCCGCATCTGCTGTCTGTCGAGTGGTTGTATAATATACAAGCAGAAGGATGCTCGTTCAACTTGGGTCCAAGTCGTGAGTTGGTGAATGACTGATTTTTTGTGTCTATACTACTTGCCCCAAAATGACTGGGATAATGAGGTGGAAAGCCGGCTATGGAAGGCTTGATAGCGGGTTGGCCCCACATCCGCTGTCTATGGAAAGGTTCTCGCTTAGTCAATGCAAGCAGAAGGATACCTGTTCGATTCGGGTCCAAGCCATCGCCTGTACCCAATTCATTTTTTTTGTCTCCTTGTACTCTAGTTATCAGAGAATGACTGCTATCATGCGGAGTAAAGCAGGATGAGGAAGGCTTGGTAGCGGGGTGGCCCCGCATCTGCCATCGATAGTGTGTGAAGATCTGTATTCAAGCAGAGGAATGCCCGTTCGATTCGAGTCCAAGCCATAAGTGAGGTTGGTGGTTTTTTGTCCGCTCCAGTGCTTGATACAAGGAAATGTGGTGAGATAATGAGGAGGAAACAAGGTAGAAAGGCTTGGTAGCGGGGTGGCCCCGCATTTGCTCTCCATTGGTGAGTTGTGAAACAAATCCAAGCAGAAGGATGCCCGTTCGATTCGGGTCCAAGCCATGGCCCAGGTCGGACTGACTTTTTGTCTGCTCTGGTAGTTGATACATGGAAAGGTGTGGTATAATGTGGAGGAAAGCAGGGTGAGGGAGGCTTGGTAGTGGGTGGCCCGCATCTGCTGTCCATGAGGAAATTCTGCAGCTGCGTATTAAAGCAGAATGATGCCTGTTCGATTCGAGTATGACGCGGCTGCCAGATGTTTTTGTCTACACTCATAAAAAAAATGGGTGGGATAATCAGGAAGAAGGCAGGGTAAGGAAGGCTTGGTAGCGGGGTGGTCCCGCATCTGCTATGCATTAGGAGGATGATGATGGAATACAAGCAGAAGAATCCCCGTTCGATTCGGGTCCAAGCCATGGAATGCGCGGAGGAGTATTTTTTGGGTTGTATTTCTAGTTCACGGGAGATGTGTGGGATAGTGAGGAGCAAGGTAGGATGAGGAAGGCTTGGTAGCGGGGTGGCCCTGCATCTGCTGTCCATAGTTTGGTATTGATTAACAAGCAGAGCATGCTCGTTCGATTCGGGTCCAAGCCATGGCGCCGATTACGTCTTCTTTTCTTCCATGTCTTTCTCGAAGGAAGGTCGAGAGTTACGGTGCATTGTACGACCGTTGACAACGACTGTCGGCACCGGCAACGCGCGTTGTATGCGCTTGTGTACGCGTCCCCGAGTGCCACGTGTCCGCTTCACACCGCGTCTTCCTGCCCTCGCAGTCCTCCTGCTCTCGTACCCATCTCATCGACCAGCGCATCCAGCACCCATCATCTATCTCACCACTTGGCATTCGTCACCCAGCTGCAACTGCAGAAAACGCACCGCTCAACCGACATGGGCTCCTCGCACAGCGCGCATCAGCACCGGTACACTCCGGCCCTTCAGCGCAGTCGGCGCAAACGCTAGCCCTGGACTCGACTACTTGGTACATCCACTCGGCCACCGCTTGGTGCAGACCACCCTCACGCGTCGGCGTTCTCAGCACCTACGTCGTCCATCTCCGGCACGCATCCACGGCAGATACTTCAAGCAGGCTCACACCTCAGCGAGCGCAAACCCAGCACATACAGCACCTCTTCCTCCCCATAAACCCGTCGCTGTCGATGCATCACCACCACAGCACCGAACTGAGAGTGCACAGCAGAGTGCCAATGGCAATCCGCAGCACGGACCTGGTGATCCACCCCGGCGCCCTCGCGCACATCGCCGCGCTCAAGGACGGTTACGAATCCCACGCGTCGGACCCGTGCGCCTTTCGCCCACACAGGCGCGCGCCGCTTCGTCCCCGTCATCTCGCATCTCCATCCCTCCCACCCACCCGGTCCCGTTTGTCTTTTCTCGCCCGCCCCGCGACGTCCAGCCGTGCGAGGTGCGCGGTGAGTTCGGAGCCGACGTGCACCCACCGCCGCCGATCCGAGCCAGAACCATGCCGACGTCAAAACCCGGTCCGCGCAGACGCGCGCCCTGGCTGTAACTTCGTTCGTGTCCGCGCTTCCGGACGGCGGGAGGGACGCGCTGGGCTTTCGTTTACGAATAGGCGCCGCGGTGCCACGGAGGCAGGGAACGCGTGCGGAGCGCGCCGTCACAGCAGCGTGGAGGAGCACCACCAGCGGCACCATCCGTACCCGCGCGCGCAGGACGGCGGCACGTGAGTGGGAGTGCGACGCACTGGTCCGGCCTGCGGGCTCCGGATCCGAGGCAGGAGGACCGGCGGCATACGAGCGCGGAGGACCAGCACGCCGCGCAGCAAGCCTGAGCGCGCGCGAGCTCCAGCTTCGAGCCTGGGGAGCTGCCGCCCTTTCCCTCGCCTCCTCCGTCGCACGAGAGTACGAGCGCGCCATATGGACACCCCGTGCCCCCGAGTGAGGGTCGAGCGGGGCGGTGGCAGAGGTGGCACGTTGGGCCGTCTCGTCTCCCCCGATCGCACACGGTATCCGTATTCCTCGTCTTCCCACTACCTCGTCCCTCCCTCCGCCTCAGCCTTTTCCACCCCCCCGAATCTCAGACCTACGCATCGTCTTCATTTGATAAGCACACACGGTTTTGAATCGCCAGATACCACGTCCATCAGATACCTCGCACATAGTCCCTATTCGCCCGCATCACTCCATACATTCGTTCCACACGCACTCCCACCCTTCATTATAGCGCACATACCCTCTTTGCATGTGCTCCGCATGTCGATCAATCTCGCATCTCTCCATCTTTGCGTTATCCACCTATCCCACCTCTCTGCCTTTACGTATCGGACCTAATGCCTACCATACTATACATATCTAGCACCTACCTAAAGCACTGGAAATAAATTGTACATTCGTCCGAGTCCACGCCCTATGCAGGGTATGAGACTTGAGTTTCCATCATAATTATAAACAGTCCCGGTCGAATCGCGACTCATTCACGACCATGCCGCGAGGAGCCACATCTAGTTACCAGGACCACTGCTTCTATATGCATCATGACTACAGCATTGTCTGTGTTGTTTAGCGCTCTCACGCTGATTCGACCCACACTCGGCCTCACGTGGAGATATCTTGAACTGAAAATGTCATAGCTATAGGCAAAGCATTAAATACGTTCTCTGCCTTCGCTGGAACCACTCTGCAATGTTGATCTGAAAAGATGTTTACACTGCGGGAGACGAACCAGGGCAAAACCAGGGAATACCTTCCAATATGATGATTGTAGGGTCATCAATTGAGTAATGGCCGCCAAACATTCTGGGCGGATCAATGCAGGATTCTTTTGAGATGGATGCCATATGCATTGCGCCTGGAAGCTGTCCTTGTGCAATGGACTAAGTATGTACCACTGGTTTATGGCTACTACCATCCATTTCCAGCATCATAAAAGTGTCACGTAGCTAAGACTAAGACTAAGACTAAGACTAAGTTAATGTTGCTCGCGACTCAAGTCGATCAAATCAAACTTTGCGTATAGCTACATTGTTTACCCCCAAAAGGTAGATATCTCATAGCCAATAAAGAGGGCTCATATACGTCCACAATATATCCGAACACCTTGGCGATTGGATGTTTGGTTGTGGAGAAATTCCCAAATCATTGTTTGCCTCGACTCGACTCGACTCGACTCGAGTCGATCAATAAATCCAATATTTCTCACGAACGGTGCAGTATCAGCGGGAACCCTTGGTATATGTTATACA